AGATTGCAAGGAAAACCAAAAATACATCAATTTTAAAAGGATATATAATGTCCATGCACATGTAAAATGCCTCTTACAAAAATCATTAATTTTTGTTAAAAGTGTGCCTTTTTGCTTCTTTTTATACAAGTGTACATGCAATTACCTGTCCAAGCTAAAACTATTTACAAAATTTCATAGTACAATACATCTTTTAAAGTGAATAATACATGAAAGGCCAATGTTTTCTGTTGTTTTGTAATACTGTACAAGATTAAAAATAAGGCATTATAATACAGGTTTATCACAAATTAAAAAAATGTTGGTTTTCACTGTAATACAAAACTCTAACTTGAAAGAATATTATGGCTAAATAGTCCTCCTGCCTGGGCAGAACACATACAGAATCTGGACTTGCTAATGTAAAGAAAATGCATTCTTTCTGCTACAAGCAGGAATCCAACACAGGAAAATGATTCACGCTGCTTACTAATGTCTTCAGACTCTTCAAAGCACTGAAATGGCACAGGTCATATACTGTTTCCCTCCAAACAGTGACACCCAACTACTTGATTTTGCCTGACAGATAAATTACAGGAAAAAGTGTGAAAGAGATTGTGGTGCATGACCGACTCTTGGTTACAGTGTTGTAAAATATTCCGTTCAGCATTGACATGAGGCATTGCTATAACCCAAAGCAGAACTTGGTCTACAGAAGCTCAACTCCTGACCTTTACAAGCATACTAAACTGGTGATTGCTGCAGGCCTTGTGGATACATAAGGGGACGCAGATTCAGCCCTAAGAAGCTGAAGCTTTTGGCTCTCAGTCTCACCTAGGGAAAGCAAGGGAAAATTTGTGTTTGTTTGGTGAAGATAAGGGAGTGTCACTAGCCACAGTGCAAAGCAGCTACAAAAAACTATGCATTTTACAGGCTAAGTAAAATGGATTTCTAGTCAATGTAAATGGAATATGTTTGGAAATATCTAGCCAGTAATCCAATGGAATGCCAGTTTGCAATCTCAGCAGAGAACAATAATTAAAAAAACATTTGAAGATAAAGGTAGTATAGGAACACTTAGAAATTACCTCTCAAGACTAAAGATCTCTGACACTTATATGCTTATATAAAGAATGAAGGACTTCAATTATTACTATTATCTGAAAGAGAGAACATGCAAACTGATGTGAAATATTGTGCTTGCTATTGACAGACACTGACATGCCAAAATGGCATCACTTTGTTGTAGCGCTTGTATCTGTTAATCCTTTCAAGCTAACAGCTGCACAAAACAGTGAACAGAAGTACAGGAGGTTATTCTGCCCACAAATCAACAAGTTGCTATCCTCAGATGAACACTAGGGACTTGGGTTGCTGTGGGGCAGACTCCTTGATGGGCCTACAGCAAGGTTACCCAGGCAAAAGTTACGGCGCTTGACCAGAAAATTAATATATGCAAGACAGGAAATACAAATGCATGTAATAAGATGGACACAACACAAATCCCACAGAAATCCAGGGAAATCCTTCTGATGATTTTCAGGGGTATTGTAGTGGGCCACGTACCCTCTTAGGACAATTGTCAATTAAAATTTTGCTCGCAATCTTCTCTAATTTAGTAGAAAATGTGAATTTATGAGGTTTTCAGAAGTATTACTTCCATGTATATTTCCCCTCTTCCCATGTATAAAACTTATTAAACATGTCAAAGAATGCAGAAGAGCTGAGAGATTAAATATACCATTGAAAGCTGTCACACAAGAACTGAAATTAAACAAATGTAGACAGAACGGGAAAATGGGGAAAAACTGTATGAATAGGGAGGGAAAGCATAACGATAAGAGCACAGCTTCATTATATCATGATTTCAATGGGCACTTAGCTTTCATTGTTGAAATGGCTGCTGAATCCTGCCTATCATTTTTACATTGTATTTGACTAATCTGTGCCTTAGCTGAACTTTCTTCATAAATTTATACTGCTCAGTCCAGGACTACAAAGTAATATATAGTTTTCCCCATGGTAAAACCAGCAACAAAAACCATAATAAAAATACCAAAAACATTAATGATAGGATAATTATGTTAATGATAATGAACTTAATGTGAGTGATAACCTGGTCTATTGGAAGGTATCCCTGCCTATGGCAACAGGGTTGGAACTAGATGATCTTTAAGGTCCATTCCAACCCAAAGCATTCTATAAATCTATGACTTAAAGTCTGGAAACTAACTCCAAAGATACCAGCATTGATTCTGTAAGCTAGGACATTCACACCAGCTTGCCTGCAGTACCAAGAAGGCATCCAGGTCCACTCAACCTGCACTGGGAGGCAGACACCTCCTCCAAAAATGCAGAATGAGAAGCTGATGATGGAGTGTGACTGTCTAGTCCTTTCCATTCAACATGAAAAACATTCTTACAAAAGTCACATGCCTTGTTTGGCTGTTGGAAAAGAGGATCAGGCTTTGAAAATCCTTGGACCAATTCTTATTAATTATCACCTGCTAATAATTTAAAAATGCTGACATGAATAATATAAATTTACCTTGCTACATGATCTTCCACTGACATTACCCAGCTGGGAATGGGTCTGGGAAGGAGAACTGTCACAAAAATATCAGCAGAGGGGACAATTCATTTGTGCTCACTGTCCACTTAGTCAAAGAAACAATGGCAAGATGCCTATATCTTGAGCCTAATAAAAAGAATAACAAATAAGTAATTTCATTAAAATCTTTTGGGTGGGCCAATGGATGTGTTTGGTCAATGTGTTCACATACTACCAGATCTACTGCTAGGATCTGAAGATGCTTTTATTTCATTATTATCAGTGAAATGATACCAAATTCACTGAATTCAAAAATTGTGTAGCATGGGCTCTTTGATAGAGGAACTGAGTGATTAATGCTATTGCACATAATTCTTTCCAACTTGGTTAAATATTTAACTTACTCGTGTGATGATTTAGTTCTTATAAACTTGTTAGAGAATGTAACTAAGCAGTGTGCTTTACATGAATACCACTTATTCCGTTTAGTTATGTAAATATTTGTTCTTTTAAATCTGTATTCTCTACGTGTATATTTTTTAAATTATTTAAATGTCTCAAAACTAGACATAAATTATTCTAGAAGAATATCTGTGAACTGGATAGCTCTTAGGGAGATAAAGAAATGCAGTGACTTTCTCCAGCTCAATCAGGGTGCATATTACCTGTACAGCACAATTAGGAAGCAGTTCTCAGGTTTTTATACTCACTTTAATCATAAGACTAACTTTTCCTGCTTTGTAATGAAGCACCTAGCAGACAGGGCACATAAAAATTAATTTAAAACTCTGCTGAAAAACACTGGAGTTCCACAGTGTCCTGATGTGGGGAACAGAAATTCCTGCAACGTTTCTTTAACCATTTGCATCTAGTGATATAGTGCTGTATGTACTTTTAACACAAAAAAAAACACTGCTCCAAAGCAGAAGTTGATAAGAGGGGACTCTCCCAGTACTTTCTTTCCACCGAAATCTGTAACAAAATAGGCCCACCAAAGAGAAGTGTGACAGCTAGTACATAAAATATTTTCTATTGTACAGTCTATACAACTTCTGCATTCTGGGGTGGGATTTGTAATTCTATGGGGTTTTTTGTTTTATTTTTTGCCTGTTTTTGTTGTTGTTGTTTTTTTTTTTCTTTTGTTGTTGTTGTTGGTTTTTGATCCTGGTTTTTTTTGGGGGGGTGGGCAGTGATATGGATTATTTTGCTTGTTAAAAGGAAGTTTTAGACCTTGTATAGTTTTACTTCTCTTTTGGAAAGCAGCCGAGGTTAGTTAGCCTGTGAATCCCCGTCAGGACAATATGTCACATGTCCATGGAGTACATGTCCCTCAGCAGGATGACCTTCAACTGCTCCCACCTTGACTATGGAATTGCACTCCATATTCCACATCTGGATCATCATTTCAGTATGAAACCATAAACAATATGATATGGGCAGCGGTAGAGAAAAAAGCAGCCACAATATATTCCTTTTAATGCAGATTAAGAGCAAGCCTCACTCTCCTGGCACATTTACCAGTGCTCCTCATTTGGCAAAGTTTGACTGTGCTTGTTTCTCAGAATTATAGCTTTATATAATTGTACAGCTTTGAAGAGCGAGTCTGGATAGAATCAAGGTATAATAAAACTGTGGCATAAATTTAAAAATCAATTAATATATAAAACTATGCTGGCAAACATACAAATGTCACAAAACTAGCAACAGGATGTTTGCCACCAGTACAGGACTATTCTTTGAGCTGTTTAGAATGGTAAATCCTGGACTTGAGCCACAGGACTTGTGCTATTTCTAAAAGCCTGAATTAATACCATCCATCTGCTCCTCAGTAAAATCAGCACTGTACATACAGGAATGTTTCTATATTGCATAAGCATATTGCTGTGCTTGCAGGGTGGCTCCTCTGTCTTGCACATACTCAAATGACCTACAAAGAGGCAGCAAATTCTATGCTCTATCACTCTTGTATTTTTTTAAATGGAGATAATATATATTGTTCTTTTGCCTAAACTTCAAGCTCTGTGGTTTATCTACTTTATATCCTAGTGTAATGGTTTGATTGAAAGTTTTTGGAAATTTTTGGAGCATGCACGGAGAACTTAAAAAAATACGTAGGGTTCTGTAATTAGCTGAATCCAGTCTTCATTAATCTGCCATTGACAGCACAATAAATACTGTTCTCATTGCATTAATTCATGCACTGGGAGCACAGTTTCTCAAAGTCTTGCTGTAGCCCTGGTGAGTCTCCAGGCATCTCACATTCCATGGTTAAATGCAGCTTTGCTAATCCCAGGCCCAACAATTCTGGCTATGACAGAAAGAGAAATCTCTTTGCTATGTCACTGCAGGTGGATGTGTAAATAAATACACACTTTTATGTTCATTTCTATAAATATCTATTAAGTCTACACAGAACTGTTTGTATGTGTGTATATATAGATTAAAACATATATGCACACACACATATAAATAATTGCTTGCACATTTATCTAATTTTTTTCATTTACTGTTTAAAAATGCCAAGAAAATATGCCTCATTTCCAGAAAATCCCGTTTTGACTTTTCATAACAGAATTGCTAGCCCTTATATATTCCATCCCAAGAGTTCATTACACAGTCCCCAAGTTCTCTTTGGTTGGGTTGTAGTGGTCCTTCGTTAATGACATGGCCTATGACCTCTGACTTCTTAGTAAGAATTCAGGCAACCATTGCTCTCCGTGCTCACTGCAAGTGGCACAACCAAATCTCCTTTGTTCTATGCCTCCTTCACAGCTGGCACAGAAGGAAGATAATGCAGTGTTTGGTTTGTGTGAGTGGCAGATGCTTGACCTGCTCCATGACCAGGTTTTACAGTAAAGCTAGCAACTGAGGACACTGAGGGGCAGCTGGTGCCCAGTTTTGTTTGAATGTTTGCTCTCCCATAAGGGTACATTTTCCGCTCTAAGTTTAAAGACCGTGTTTGGGAATTATTTCCATCAGCCTTTCCTTCCAGGAAATAGGTCAACATTTCACCTTTTCCCTTTACACTGACTTTACCCCTGCACACGAATTCATAGCTGCATCTTTTTAATATCCGCTGAACTTCTTCTGTCACCTGAAGACAGAAAATAAACAAACCTGTTACTTTTTTCTGTTCATGTAATTGCCCACCCCTTCCCATTTTACGTCTTGGTCATGAAATATGCATAAACAGAATGGATTAGCACCTAGAGCTGCTCTCAGGTTCACTTAGAGTTTTCTTTAAGAAGTAAAGGTCACTGATAAAACTGGACTCTGAGAAGCAGTATGTCTGGTCTTGAGTTAAATAAATACACAGACAGATAAAGCTCCATCCAACAGAAATATGCAACCAAATTGTAAGCTGTATCAGTTCCAGTGATGTTAATTTATTGCAGAAGACCTTTTGGACCTTTGACAGGTATTTTGGATAAATGACTGCAGGTGTTCATTGAGCTTTTGAAAGGAATATCATAGGTGCTAGTAGTAGAACAACAATGTTGTTCTCTGTCTGTGTCACCTCTCCAATCCAAAGTATCCAAGCAATTTTTAGAGCTACATAAAATGAAGTAAGTTGCAAACGAGCAGAGGTCCTTTCCTTGTAGGTCTTATTTAGGCAAAATTTCTACAGCACAAAGACTGGCAGTGTTAGCATTCCCAGGCTTACCTCCAACTCTAAGCAGTGAAGCAGAGAACTCTTGTTTCTTCTGATGGCAAATGATTTATTTGATGATTTAATTGCCTCTAAGGAGTGAAGTGTACAAGATGGAAAACAACTATACCTCTGATGGTGAGTCATTTGGAGAGTGTTGCCCTCTCCACAAGAACAAAGTGAGGCTGCATTCTCTAAGTGTTCTTGAAAATGTAACCCCATATAAAACAGGAGGTATGTAAAGTTTGCAAAATTGTCTTAGAATGCACTCACCTGGATCTTTCCCTGCACTCCAGTGCTATCCATCCGGCTGGCAACATTCACAGTGTTCCCCCAGATATCATACTGTGGTCTTCTGGCTCCAATGACACCTGCCACTACCGGCCCAACATTAATACCTGAAATTAAACAACAAGTTTGGTTTTCACTACAGCGTATTATCCAAAGGAAACATGGATCCTGCGAAACAGATCTGACACAAGTGTCTTAGCATTTTTTATTGTAGTACAGTAATATATGTTAACATCATAAAGCTGAGTCAAGGAAGGTTTAGGTTAGATGTCAGGAAATTTTTTTCACCCAAAGGAGGACTGAGCACTGGAGCAAGCTCTCCAGGGGAATGGTCACAGCAACAAGCTTGACAGAAGAAACATTTGGACAATGCTCTCAGGCACGTGGTGTGACTTTTGGCTGCCCTGTGCAGGGCCAGGAGTTGGGCTTGATGATTGTGATGGATCCCTTACATATTCTGTGATCTCTCAGCATATTCATGATTTTAATGTCTAAATTCATTCAAAGTGGACTTCTGCATTTGTAAAAATCTTAGAAACACAGCAAAGACATTCCTTGAGATATCTTCTTGGAAATGTAATATGATAGACAACATAAAAATTTGATTCTTCTGTGGATATTTTTTTTTTGTTTAAAGAAAAGAAGAAAAGCAGTGGTAGTGCAGAGTTTAGCTGAAAATGGGACAAACTGTTAAAGATCTTTAATTGTTATTTCTATAACTTCCAGTGCAGTTGTACATATAAAGCCTTTTAGGTTTTCTGAGTGGAACAGAAATAATGGTCTGGAATACACAAGGATTAGGGTAAGGGAAGGTTGCTTGTTAGTACTAGACAACTCAGATTCCCAGAGACAGTGGAAGAAGAAAAAAGTATACGAAAACGGCTAAAGCATAATTTTTTGGAAACTGCAGAGCTCAATTCTACATTGCTGACTGATTTCAACATCTTGTTTGGAAGATAAAAGAGAATGTTTCTTCTGAGTACCCTGAAGAGCTGCAGATACTAAGCCCTGCATGATATTCTGGGCAAGGGCTTTCCTAGGCAATTTATGCAGAAGAATGAGGGTTAGATATTTGATCCTTTGTGATCCTGGAAAGACAAGTTATAACAGAGTTCAAAGAGAATTTGGGGTTTATAATTATTAGGATGCACAGGAGGTCAAAGATGTATAATTCTCCTATTGCTGCCTTTGATGTCTTTAGTCTTTCTCAATCTTCCACTGCTAGCAACCTGAGTTTTCCTGTTGTCCAGCTCATTCTCACAAGTAAGCCATGAAAATATATAGAGAAAGAAGCTGGAGAAAACTATCAGCGTTAGAATATACAATAAAATGAGAACAGCACTGGAAGTACCACTGGAAAGGAGCAGAATACATGAAAAAAAGGGAAGCAGGAAACTTGATCTCTAAGAAAGCTGAGAGAAATGAGTGGTAAGACATGTAATAACATGTAAAGAAAGGATTGCATGGGAAGAGTTGCATTGTGCAGACCAGAGAATTTGATTTGTTGGAGAAAACGGGACTGGTTAAGGTGATTTGGCGTCTGTGGAGAAAAAGCTCCCATTGCACTTTTAATGCCAACAAAGCTTTTGCAGATGCAACTTAACGTAATACAGTAAGACCCAATTTTCAGCAGCTTAGCAATGCAAAGCAGTGTAAGCCACAAGACTGTGTACACTCATAATATTGTATAAAATTAAAGGTGCACTTTCTTTTTAGGGGCGCACAGATTAAGTAAACACACTGGAACTGGAGGGAATTACAATTCCTTAATACTAATGCACACCATCCAGACTGCTGACCTTTTACATGGATGTGACTCTCTCACTAGTGGAGAATTTTCAGTTTTAATCATGAGTGCAGGACAGGTAATCCTTTGCTGACAGCACAGGAACAGCCAACGAAAAACAATCTTCTTGTGTGGTAAATGTAAAAACATGACTTACCAACTCGTAAGACAAAGTCATTGTAAGACTGATAGTTGATTTCATCAAGAACGTCAAACATCTCTATTGCAAAATCTGCCAGTGTACTCAGATGGGAATAAATTGATTTTTTAGCCTAGAAACAAAATAGTGTTCCACATTAGATTTGTATGGTACTGAGATGCAGATTAAATACTAAAGTGAAAAATAATGAGAAGCTCAAACAGATGCCTTAGGAAAAGAATCTAACCAATTTTTCTGTTTGTGAAAGGAAACTTTTGATGGTAGCTGCAGCACATGCATTCTTTCTTTTCTGCGTTTTTTTTTTTTTTCTCTCTCTCCTTTTGATTTCTGGGAAGAATGTAAAGCAAAGTTCCCATGGTAAAATGGTTCTGTTGCTAGAGAGCTGCAGATGTTTGTTTTGAGTGTGGCAGGGAATATAACCTGCTTTCTTACAAAACTACTTTGCCCGATGATTATTAATAACTATAGTTTCTGCCCTCTTGTCCCTTTGTGACTTTTGCTGGCTCCCAGCTTCCATGGGGTGCATGCTGTTCCTATTGACAAAATTCCTGTAAGGTTCAATCCTGTGAGGTGCAGAACACCCCCATGTTTTTCCATTCCAGACAAGTTAAAGGGAGCTGTTATCAAATGTATCTAAATGAACTAATGGTTTTTGCCCAAAAGGGATCAAACGAAATGGTGAAGTATTAACTTGTAAAAACATAAGAAAATAATTTTTACAACTTCAGTCTAATTAAATTGTGCAACTAATTTTCAGGGGATATTGTGGATTCCAAAACTTAGCAAGCTTATAACATAATTCTCAAGATCATGAAAGAAATATTTGGTACAAAGTAGTAAAAATCTAAGCAGCATATTATGAGAAGGTGGAAAAGAAAGGTTTGCATATCTGTTCTGTAACTCATGCTCTCCTCCCAGGATCTAACCTTGGTTAGTTAAAGAGAGGTTACTAGAATAAACCTTTGACTCAACTCAGTATGACTGCTCTTGTGTTCTGCTCTTATTTGAATAGAAATATGAATTTTGGAACAAATTTGCAAAGTGAAAGTGGGCTAAAGGTAGGATATGGTGAAAGAAATGCAGGGTCAGTGGCAGCTTCTGTAGGATGTTACACAACAGGACTGTGCAAGCTGGCATGAGATGAAAGCTTGCTGAATTTTTGCCATGATAGCGAGATTTTATAAATGCAGCACTAAACAGTGACTGAAAAAACTGAGAAACAGGTTGCTATTTCCTTCATTCACCTCAGTTTGAAAGGGTTACTTCATGTGGCTAGGAAATTTACAAAAAATTATGAAAGTCATCCTTGTGCCAGTCCCAGTTTTTGGGAAGGATATTTTTATTTACTTGCCTGGATGTCTAGCATTCTGCTTTTTGCAACGTGAACTAGCTAGTTCTACTCTTTTCCAGAATCACCAAAACAAAGGAAGAACAAGAATTAAGCTTGAAGAGCTGATGGATACATTTCCAACAGAGAAGGAAAAAATATTCAGTGTCTGGAGCAGGGAGAGAGCAGTGCATAATTTTATTTGATTTCTAATCTTCTTTACATTACCTCTCTTCCCTTTCTTTGCTGTCTGATGAATGTAATGTTTTCCTGTTAAGAGCACAATTAACCCCATCCACTGCTTTCTGTTCATGTCCAAATTCTAGTATGAAATTAGTGATTCACAATCGGAGGCTGTGCCACAGTTTTTGTTGAACCTGGGACACTCCTGGCAGAGGGCAGACCAGAGACACTTGAGTGTCTTATGGCTCCCTATGGACACCTATGACTCCATAGAACAGCCCAGGGACTGTGTAAAACCAGCAGTGATTGTGCATGACAGGCCAGCCAAGAGTTTCAGACTTCTAATATACACGTGTATGCTGAAGAACTACTGGGAAACTGGCAAGAGGATGTGAGTAATTTCAATTCATTTGCATCCCATGAACAGTAGGGAGACATCACAGAAGAGCTGAAACCCTAAGTTAAAGTAAAAATTATTGTCTGTTTCATACCAGATATTTTTTTTCTGGAATACAGAATTTTTAATATATTCTACTTATATAGAAAAGATCAAAATTTGCTCCAAGATTTAAAAGGAAGACAGAGTACTGTAAAAGATCTCCTGCAGTGATTTAAAATGCATGAGTATCATATGCTCAGAGTAGTATCTTCAGTACTGGACTGATTCAGCTGACCCTTCACTCAAAAAGTATAAAATACAAGAGACAAACACGTTTAGGTTTTGGAACATATGCTGCCAAAGTTACCCAATAACACACTTGTTTTGAGGATTATAGTTCAAAGAGCATTTATAGCAGACACAAAAGTATGCCACTGCCTGTTTGCCTCAGATCACACAGTGAAAAAATTCTAAAGATCAGTGTTTTTTGCCTGTCTCAGAACCTATGAGTCAAACATTTTAGCATAAACAGATTTTTTAAAATACCTCTACTTTTTTTTTTTCTTTCTTTTTTTTTTTTCCCTAGGAATGATACAAAGGAAGGCATCAGCTGGAAATACTTTGCAGACCAGAAAGTTAGCAGAAGGTTAGTTGTGTGATATACTCCAACATGATTCCATGATTCTAACCATTGATTTCAATGTGGTCTTGTTTTTTATTTACTTAGCAGGGATAATTTTTTGCTAAATAGTCCACAGGGCATCTTCTGGCCTTTTTTGCTTTTGCCTTCTAATTTTGTATTATTTTGCAATGCTAAACCATATGTACTAATGTATTCAACATATATACATGCATATCAGAACAAGAGAGAAGTGTCTGAAAACTCTGGGCAGATGAGGTAAATGAATTGATTTAATTTTAATTCTATTTTTATATTATAAATTTTGTAAAATTTTAATATTTTAGTTTTATTAGTGTAATTAATAATGTGCATAGTACTCTGTATACTATGCATTCAATTTAATGTCCACAGGGTTTTCTGACTTTCCAGATGATGCTTGGAAATCTAGAAAATCTCTGTTCCAAGATAGTAACTTAAGGTAAGAATAACACCCAGGGGTAGTGATGAGGATACAGAAGAACTGTGCCCCAGAATTAGTGGGTTTGAAATGACTTTGACTTTTTTATTGCTGAGTAATTAAAGTGGTAAATAGAACGCTAATGGTAGAGACACAGAAGAGGTGATTTGGAGGGACCAGGCACAGTGCAGCACTGTACCTAGCACAAAGTTCCTGTCCATGATGGGGGTTGGGAGAGGATGCTTATTTTAGTTGTATATTTCAATATTAAAAAATATAGGTAAAAATTGCATTTTAATATTCTTCTGCTAGTTTGTAGCAAGTCACTAGACCTAGAGTCTACCTTTCCCTGCATCTTACAAGGCCATCTAAGATGCCAGGTTTAAAACACTACCACTCTGATTTAGAGACTTTTATAACACCAATTTGCAGGGAATCCAAAGCTGCAGACAATGAAATTACAAGCGAATCCACATAAGCAAGTGGCAGTTTTCCTTTTCTGGCTACAGCTGTTCTTTGAATTTCAGATTCAAAATGTTATAAAGAAGTCATGCAAATTATCAATAATCTCACAAAATTAGCTGCGTTTCTGATGTTCCTCTGGAAATTGAAGGAAATTTATTCCTTCACATAAGACTGTTATGTAAAATCTTCTTACCTTAGTTCCTGAAGTAGGTACAAGTCCCACAGCTGCCATATATGTACTTCCAATTGTCTTGATCTTTTCAATATCCTTATAATATTCTTTGTCCATAAGCTTTGTTTAAAACATAAAACTGTTAAATATTACATAATATTTTAGACAAGCAACCATAGTTATCAGACAATATGTGCAAGTTCATTAAGCCACATCATATTTGCTAAATTGAGTCTTGTCCACTGAAAAACTGCCATTAAATTCAATTTTTGATACTCTTCCTATATTAGAGAAATTTTAGGTCAGGGTCATATGACTAAAATTACAAATTTGGCACTTTGGAGAAGCCCAGTGGACACCAACTATGATTAAATAGGAAGTTTGCAGTACTGTTTTATTAAACAGTTCATGACACACTAATTTACTTCAGATAATCTCATTGATATTTATTTGGTAGAAATTATATGGTCAAAAGACAAAGTGTTTAGACCTTACCTCATCAAAATCAGCAATAATTTCATTTAACAGGCGTAAACATTCCACTCCCATATTATTGCCATCCAATTCGATGTAGAAATCATTGAAATTTGGGATGGAAGCAAACATCACTCCCACTTGTGAATATGACTGGTAATAAAGGTCCTGTAGTTCATAAGCAGATGTAATTTTTATTTTAAAAGATTAATCTAAACTAAACATCATTATTGCAATACTTATTCTACTGCTAAACAACAGCTAGGACAAGGGCCATCAGGTTTTCTATAGAGAAAACCAGACTTCTTAAAATAATGTTGAAAGATGTCTTCACTCAAGACCACAATAGAAAATTAACACAAAGTTTTAAACCCATTTTAAACAACTTAGGGGTTTTTTCCTGTTTAGACATAGAAGCAGTGAGCCAAAATTTGGAGAAAATTTTAACAGTTATAGAACTTCTATTGTTTGAGAAAAATAATTATATTTTTTTCAATCTTGTTTTATAAGCAAAATAGGAGATGGACCAATTTTATCCTGCAGTACATAACTGGCCTCACTCCTTCAAGTCTTTATGTATGTTGTGGAGTCCTACATAATATAATGCTGTTCTGTATGGTAAGGTTTCTGCTTAAAAATTTGGAAGGCTCCAAGAAAGCAAAATCACTCTTTTGTGGCTCAAATACTTTAACCCAAACTCTCAAGAGCAGTATCATGGATATTACAGCTGCTTCAGTCCTGAAGGTTTTCAGATGATTTTCAGATGACCAGAAGGACTCTCATAAGGCCTTCTTGAAGCAATTTATTTAGTCACTGCAGCCTTTAATGTTAATCCGTGTCTTCCCTGAGTACATACAATTCTTTGTTTTTAACTTTAAGTAGATGGCTTTGGTAATGGTAGCATACTTTCCAGAACCTGAGTGGTAATATATGTGTCTGGCAGTTCATACACCTCACCATTCAGAAGCAAACTAAGTTCATGCAATACTGTGATAAATTCCAATATCCTACATTGATTAGAAAATGAAAAAAATAAAAAGTGATTTACATGCAGGTACTTGGTTTCATTGTCATTGAATTACAACCTTCCCTTATCTTGAATTTTATTAAAATTCTTTAGAGAGGAGGACCATACAGCAAAAGAAATAGTCTCAAGCTAATTCTTGAACACAAGTTTTTACAGAGCTACTTTTTTTACATGAGCAACGTTTTTTTCCAGGCCTTTCTTGAAAACATAAAGGTGGAAGGTGGCCCAAACAACACAGGCCCATACAGTGTGCATTTAAATTTTATCTTGGTTTACCATATTTCTTGGATTAGACATAAGAAAGTGCTGTGCAACATGGGCTGGCAACAGGTTGAAAAGAATTCTTTTATTATCCAGCTTGACTCTCTCCATATCATCTCTCTCTTCTTCTGCCTGTTGGGATACAGGAAAAGAAGAATCTTTTCAAAATGCAAAAAAATGGAAAATTGGCTGAGCCTATCATATAACTTCTATTAATTCATCCTTAGAAATTAAAATGAACAAAATGTAAAGTAGCAATGTAGATTGAGAACAGTTCTCCTGTACCATACGTCTACATTAGGCAAAATCCCTTTAAATCCTTAGTAATTCAAGCTAAAGTCTCTCAGCTGTTTTCAGGGTTTGATCAGCTAAGTGTATTGGTATCTTCTGTAGCTCTCTGTTCTTTTAAATAGAAGCTTGGTATGTTTACAGAGTAAACCAGAATAATCCCATTTAAGTCACATCTGGCCTTGGAGGCCAATTACTTCCCAGGTAGTTCAACACAGTGACAGCAGTATTTGATCCATCTTTCAGACAAGAGAAGCTAGTGAGAATCTCCAGCATTTAAAGCAAACCTTTTTACTTTGCAGTAAAACTGAAACAAATCTGGTAAGGCAATGACTTCAACAGAGAAAAATATTTTAAACTTGAGCATCCTTGAGAATGATGAACAATTTTTTTAAAAATTATATAAAAATAATTAACATTTCTAGAGATTGTTTTAATTATGTTGGTGTTTGTCATGAAAATATATATTGTTCCTTTGCAACAGGAATTCTGCTATTGATGTGAATGACAGCATTCAGAAAGAGTGCTCAGGAGTTAACACATCTGAGGTCCCTAATCCAAGATACTGGCATTTTATTACAAGTGCTTGACTCACAGAGTTAGTGTGAGTCATACAATAGGAAACTATTTTAAAAATCAGATCCCTTACTTGAAAAATATTGAATATCTAGGAATCCCATCTGGGACTCCTAGATTTGCAAATTCCAGCCTGGTCTTTCATAGATTCATCTGCAAAATTACTTATTTGGAATTCGCTCCTTGTTCTTAGAGTGACTTCTGGCTTCACACTGATTTAAATTAGAAAACACTTGATCAGTATCATATTCATCTCACAGAAATCGCAGCTTATTCTTTGCTCCTCAGTCACACCCACAAGTCATCTACTGTGATCTGATGCCAATGTGATTTTGTTTATCTAATTACAGCCAGTAGAAGACAAGAAAGCCAAATTCTCAGGCATTGTTGAGAAACCCCAGTCAGATAAATAATTGATGAGCTTGTTCTAGTCATTCTTGGTGTCCCATTTATATCTGAAATTTGGTATCCTGACCTGTTACAAAGTCCACATAATTTCTCAGTATCCATTCCTATCTAAGTAGGAGAAAACCAGTCACCTCTTGCCTTCATATAGTCTAAAAATATTATTTCATGTGATTTTTTTTTTCAGGAAGCTGTTTTGTTTTCCATGACAAAACTTAGGAAACAATGTTTTTATTCAAGTTACACAGCTTGCTTTGCCCTGCAGTTTATCCTGTATTTTAAAATTTCTTTACAAGTAGAAAGAATTCTGAAAGAGAACTGATTTTATAAACATAAATTCTTCAGGAATTGTTGCCTTTTAAAATAAATTCTCAGCTCCTACTCTAGTTTGAGTAATAAGAAACAGAACCTGTTCCAGAGGTGAAATATCAGTAAACTTTAAATAGCAATTAAGTTTTGCCAGAAATATATTTGAAACTTTGATTCTAAGTATCAATCTCCTGTTTGTGATCTGTTTTCTTGACACTTCTTTCACTGTTCAAATTTCACATGCTCTTTTCTTAAAATATCCTTCCCCTATTTTGGTGATATAACTCTGAATTACTTTTTTTCTAAAAGCATGTGAAATGGCCTCTGGCATTTAGTTTGACTGTTGGAATTTAAATGTTTTAATGGGAAAAATAAAAAGATTCTTCAGCTGAAAATCCAAACCAAGTTTTTAACTCCGTTTTACATCACACTAGAACATGGGAAATTTTATTCTGACAACAGCAAAGAGATTTGTGCACTGAATTTATGATCTTAATAAAATATCCAATCAGGTCTTCCTTATCCATTCCTCTATTTTTTGAACAAGAAATTTTGTTGTTACTTCCATCCTAGGAATGTTAAGGTTCTCAGTTAACCTACCAATACAATATGGGGCAGAATACCTTGTTAAAGAAGAGTACTCTTTTAAGTCAAGGTGTGGAGATTTCTGGACTAATCAAAGGAATCAGGTTGGGGTAGGTAAGTGGAGGAATCTGTTTGATGTGTTGTATGGGCAGTGATGTTGCTCAATCCCTGGCAGCTGCTGTTCATTTCTGATGTGGAAATGTGTGATCAAATTCCTCTGCCTTGCCCAGCTGTGGGCCAAACTGTTCATTTTGGAAGAAATAATTGAAAAGATTCTCTAGTACATCCATCAGTATGTATGAACTACAGCAAAGGTTTCAGAGCAAGGAACACTCTGACTAAGAAGTGGAGAACTTGAGTGAACAGCTAATGGCTCAAATCAAACTATCAGAGTCACATCTGAGGTGGTGTCAAAATCATCTAAGAGCAGAGAAATAATTTAATGATGTCACCATTACTAATGATAGAATGCTACATTTTCAACACCTAACAAGTGTCTCTTCCCGTTTCAGATGCAAAACTGTTAATTACATTTTTGGCTCTGGGAGGGTTCTGTTGCCAAAAATGAGATTGCGGGGAAAAGACTTGAGGTAAAATTAAAGATAACAGTATGGAAAATATAGGGGGAAATATGGTTGCTACTCCCTGGATGGAACACAGTCAGCACACCGAACTTTCCACACACAGTACAATCTAGTGGGGATTAAATTGAGAGTGGGATGGGGTGGGATAGAGGGGAGGGGAGTGGAGGTACTGTAACCAGGCTCTGTTGAAACCCTTGCAGAAGAGGGTACTTGGTGGTACTTTTTAGTTGATAAGCCACGCAGCAGTTGGAAGCCAAGAGAGATAAAGGAAGATGTCCTGCTGTTGAATCAACAGGCATGGCAGAATTACCCTCCTTGGATTGACACATATCCCCATCCCAAGGTTATCTCAGATACTACACCGAGGTTACCCGCCTCCAAGGCACCACCACCCCTCACTGAGTAAGATGTATGACTAATGTCACTCAGGCTTTGCATAAATGTAAAGAAGAGTTATGAAAAGGGAGAGGACTCCATCATAACTTCTGGGATTAGCTGGTAGGCTGAACCTCTCTTCTCCCCCATACGGACACCTTGGGGTAAGAAGTGTACTCTATGCATGCTGAATTATTATCTCTAGCTAGCTCTCACTGAGGATTAGAGCTTGTCTGTACATTGCTTTGAATACATTTCCCCAGTCAGATGCTATCACCAGCAATCCTAAAACCTTAACTTCTCGCTATTTTTTAAAATTAACAAAGATTGTTATCTACAAACTGTTAATGTGGGCTCTTCAAGGGTGCTACCAGTGAGTGGTAGTGGGTAAAGATGTGGAGACCCAGAAGTAGGTCTCTCTTTTGGCATGTGGCCCTGAACAAATCAGTTGAACTACACTCTGATCTAGCACACTACTCCATGAAGAGTGCCCATAGCTGGAGGTGCTGGCAGACTGCTTGGGCACAAGGATCTCAGCTTTCCTGGGTCACAGCCAGACTAATCAAACACTAGGGGTTTGAGAAAATCTTCGTTTTCACATGAAAAAACCCCTAACAGCGTGGAAACCCCTTGAATAATGGCATGGTGATTCAGTGATTCGTGGTGGGTACTGACAGCAAACCCAAAATAGGGGCAAATTATGCAAACAGCAAAACAAGGGGAGTGCTCTTACTTTTTTGTTCCCTGACCTGTTTGAGGCCAAGCACGTCCTAGCTAACACAGATAGAGGAGTGCTCTCTCTCCCTGTATTCTGGGAGAAATTTGCATTGACAATGCCCGTGTGGAGCAATGCAGTGCCCTGCAAACTAAGCTGTGTTAGCCCTGCCTGACCTAGCCCCAGAACTAGAAGCAGAACATTCATGGAGCATGGCATTCCTTCTGAGTTACTTTATCATGCTGAAAAGCAAAGGCATATCACCTTAGACCACACACTGGGCCAATGCTGCTGTATTGTTGCTGTTATATCTGAGATGGAGTCTCTGCATGGACTGCACTTAACCCACCTTAACTCACCATGCCTAACATCCTGCTTTATTATTGAAGCAATCCCTTAGGAATACGAACTGAAGTGTACCTCCTCTGCTACTACTGCACAGAGCTTGAGTATCTATCCTCTTGCCTTGCACTGCCTAAGACAGCTCTCATTTATTCAAATCCTCAGGAGCTGCTTGGGGAAAGTGGAAATGTGCTTTTGTATTTCACAAGGGAAGATAAAGGAGGGAAGGTGAAGTAAAAAAAGACTTGGTCATGTCCAACTGTGAGGACTCTAAAACTATCCCTATCACAGAGATAATAGGGGAGGGAAGTAAGCCAACTACTGGTATTTTCTGGACCTTTTTCCAGATTCCTTTTTTCTGCCCTTCAGGTAAATGCAATGAAAACTGTCCTTCCTCCTTGTGACTCATGAGCTTCTAATGCCTACTCTTGAGCAGCTGAGATTAAAGGATGCATAGGCATCAATTCTTTCTCAGGAAAAACAGACAGTTGGAAGAGAGAAGGAATACTTGGGACTGAAAGATTAAAATAGCACAGATCACAGGTATTTACATACCTGGTGGGAATATTATACAAACAGCTAAATGGCATTTAAGTCTTCATCTATCTGTTCCTGCTCCCATTGGTTAATTAAGGAAAGCTGCCAGCTTGATATTTATGCAATAGCTACTAGCTCAAAAAACAAGACAGATTATTGTAAAAACAAACAAGAAAGAAAGAAAGAAAGCGCATTGGCATGACCAATATAATTTTTCACATTCTGCTGTTTGCTTATACCTGTTTGGTATTTGTGGCAGGTAGGTCATTTTGTGGAACCCAAACTCTGTATTTGCAGAGCTGCAGTACTTAAAAGCAGGCTTTATTTTTGCACTGGACATGGTGACAAAATTTAAAATGTTTTTAGTAATATCACTTTTTATATCAATCTAATTAACATCTACTGCATTTTACATAGTTACATATGATCCTACAGCTTTTTCAATGCTGATAAAGGGTTACCCATCATCTGTCTGGGAAGTGGTCTGAACAGTTGTATCACCAGACAGCCTAAAAATGCTGTAGGAAAGTCACTGACTAAATAGACACCACATGAAATATACAGTTTCAAGATTAGTTAAAAAGAAGCTGGGCACCAGTGCCACGGGAATCTCATTTTTTGTACCTGAAGATGGCACTACATCCACAGGGAACAAACACATCACACTGCTTTTGTAGGGCCAGGTTTTTGAGCAGAAGTGCTAAGACACCTGGTTAGTCTTGCCTGTAGATTGTAAAATTTATATTGCTTAAAAGTGTCATGGGCTAGAAAAGACAGCAGAATGATATTCTAGTATTCCCGAAAGAATGCACAAATTGAATGCATCAAATGAAGCCATATCATTGTGTTATTCTTGTTCTCCTCCTGTGACAAATCCTGTGTGAGTGAGCAACTAAATTTTTTGGTAGTTTTAGGATCTTCATGAATTTATTACTTGTATTTATTTGTCCAGTCTTTTTCTTTCCCTCACAGTTTTGTTAAATAATTTGCATAATCAAAAGTGATTATCAGTCACAAATAAGTAAAATGTCCTATATTCGCTATTCATAGTTATTGTCATGTGAGGAACACAGAGTTACTCAACAATGTTATGCAGAAAATGAAATTCTCCTCCCACTGCCTATTAAAAATATCAAGAAAACAACCAACAGATGTTTTCTGAAAATACTGTGATATTCAGAAAGGTTAAATCTGGTGCAGAAAAAAACATAGCAAATCAACAAGAGAGCCTCTAACACCATTGATTTGTGAACAGAAAGTACAAATATAAATGTTTTAACAACATATCACCCATAAAAAGAAGTATTTTTCCATACAATGTACATAAATTCTACTGTGTTATCACTGTTCTGGTAATGCAACCTAGATAAATGGAAATTTGATTAACTTGTCTTGAAACTGTAATTTTTCTCAATCAGTTTTTCTTGTTTGAAACTGCTCTTCTTCAAAGCACTTTTTCTCCCGATGGAGTGAAAAAAATGTGTGGAAGTGTGTTCCTTAGATCTTAGCACAGACCACTGAATACATATCTATGTATTCCTACTGATTAGTTACAGGATACTTTCACAGTTTAAAATATAATTTAGTAGTACTAGACTGTTGTTCATGATGAAATAAATTATCTATGAAATCCTTTTATTGCAGCTTATATCACAAATTCATTAATCTGAGAATATTTTTACAGCCCAACAATAAACGTTACTAAAAGTATGCAAAGAAAGTGCTCGAGGCTTCCAGAATAGTGCTTGAGTCTGAATTTCCCCCAGATGTAAGTAAGCAATTGAAAAGCCTCCTAAAATGACAGGCCGAACCATGTTGGAATATCTTCAGACAGTGGGGATTGGCTACTGGGAGATGTGCATCTAGCTTTAGCATTTGGTTCATGCAATTCTGTGTTTGCACAAAGAATCAGCACACTCACTTTGCAAAACAGAAAATCTCCATAGGTCCTGTGCACTAAGTCAATTTCTAAAATTCTGTTACCAGAAATATAACCAAGTTAAGCCAACATGGTTTAATGGTAAGTAGTACTGTGGCTGTAGAGAAACATGACCAAAAGACTCTTTCTCTTTTTAGCTTTATAGAGGGCTCCTGCAGTCCAGCAGCCAGAGAAAACTGGCTCTTGTCTCCTCTTAAAGGCTGTCAAACAATTACTAGCTTGGAGTTTGCTAACTACTCAAAGACAGCTTTATCATATAGATATTTCCAATAAATAGTGTTCTCTGAGCCTTTAATACTCAGATTTTTGTGCTGTAGAACCTAGCAAGTTCAAAGACAGTGGTTTGGGTTGGTCGGGTTTTTTTGCTCATCCATTTGAATAGGTGAGCACAACAGCCACCTCTGTAACATCCATCGTGGACAGCACTTCTGGTTGTTATGTTAATTAGTCCTTGGACTCAATATCATTTACAACCAATACACAGAGTGGAAAGCAGAACAGCATTTCTTTTGATATGTTATCCACTATTACTTACTGTACAGGAAATAGATCTTCCATGTGGAATTGAGAAGATGAAAGGTATATGCCCAGATAAGAGGCAAAGAATGTAATTGTTGAAAACATAATCATTTGAAATCAGCATACTGATTTCAAAGAATAGTAGTTATGTTGATCCCTAAATTCTGAATTTTCTACCTAAGCTGATTTTTTCCTTTCTCATTATTATCATGCAAACCTCACACACAAAGTGGCACCACATATGTCTCTGATGTGCAATTGAAAAGGTCTGAAAATGGCATTTGATCTTCTCATATGAAAAGCATTTTTTGAAATGGTACTTGAAAATGTCGGTGGACAATACTGAAATTTCACGTCTTATCTCTCCTTACTGTCCCTTTTTTTATATAACCTGTCTCCAAGAAAACAGAAAAAGTTTGTATTTCTTCCTTTACCACTGTACAAGTCCAGTTCTGGTCTTTCATTAGACAAGCACGCCATATTCCTCTACTTAAATTTTTTAAACTGATTAATTGCTGATTAAAGCCAACTTAAAATTAAGAATCTTTAAGCAGTACTTCCATTAGGGATGCACAATAGCAATAGCTGGGATGATGAAAAGAATTTAAGATGCTGGAACTCACTCTTGGTCCATTGAAAGGTCACAGGCTAGAAAAACTGGTACCTTACTCTACTGCTACTCTATTTCAGGATGAGGAATAAGATAGAGAAGATTTTGTATTCATGGATCATATGCCACTCACATACTTTCACCGTGTAAAATTACTGACTATCCAGCAAGGCAGGTGCTGTACTGAATTTCAAAATCAGGTGATCTTTTCTTCCATCTGAAAACTGTTTTTGGCACCACAGCAAACAGAAACTAGTACCAGTTTATCCAAAACAAGCTTCTGAGGCTGACAGGCAGCTGTTATCAATACTGCAGGTCATAGGACAAAACCAAAATTAAATGATCACACTCAGCTGAACTGTACAGAGTTCATGGAAATTATAGAACAAGATAATCTTAAAGCACAAAAGAGGGGTATGCAGTCTTGGACATCGAGTCAAACAAGAAATCCCCACACAGTTTAACTAATAGACAGAAAAAGTTTTCAAGCAGAAGATAATAGAAAGAAGTCATAACTCATTTCTCCATTTTATATAACACATTGGAGCCAGGGATATGTTCCAGTTAACCTGAAACCCACGTATTCCAGTCTTGATGTTATGTGCAAAAGCAAGGGCTATGATGATTGAAATGGTCCTCCTGACAAAACAGTTAACAGGGTGCAGGTGAGAACAGAATATGACCTCTGTCAACTACAGAGTGTGTAAGCTTTACTGTAAGGATAACTTCCAAATTCCTCCAAATAAACTGACATAGTCAACTTTCTCCTTCCCTTGGGGGCCAGTGTAAAACACTTTGGAGGTGGGAACTAGACTGCTGAGAGGTGTGACATGAGGTAGACATATCCTGATGGCCGTGTTATGGCTAATATAATTTCTATAGGTTTTTTTGCTGTGTGTATGATAGCTAGGAAATATATGTTCCAAAAAGGCCCCTGAACTTGGTATCTAAATAAATTTCTGATCTTTCTTTGGGAAAGAGTTCCATAGTTTCTATATATAATATAGGTTTAAATATTTCCTTTAATCAGTTTTATTTGTTTCTTTTCAGTTTACCTGAATATCGATTTACTTTCACTCCTTTTTGTAATATAAGATAAAAAATCCCCCATGGATTTAATTTTTTAATCTCAAATTTATATTGTTAACAGTTTATTCCTAATGCATCTTAGCTATAAATACATTATTTGATTAACGATATTCTGGAACAACCAAAAAGAAACAAAAAATTTCTGCTCCAGGAAAATTGAATTTTATAGGTCTGAGGAAAGAAAGCTCTAAAATATCCTTTCTCTGTGAACCCCAAGAGACATGAAAAAGTTTGAGTCCAAATAATTTGTCCTGAAAGCATTTGAACACCAATTCAAATAGTCAGGCATCATTGTGAGTGCATGGATACGATAAAGTCCTGTGATTTACCTGCACTGCCCAGAGGTAGTCCAGACGCAGTTTCAAGTCCACCTGTCTTGAATGCAGTGCTAAAGCACAAGAAAATAGCAAAATAGCTAGTATTGGTTCATAGCCACGCATATAAAAGGAGCCGCCCCTTAAAAATAAGAACAAAATAAATGGGTTATTCCAGGTCTAATACTTAACACTGCACATTTTTAATGTCAGATCCTTAGTATAGAACACATGGGACCTCCTAATCACAAGGCTTTTCTGAAGAGGTTCATCTGGGCAGGGAGATGGGTGATAGTACATCTGATCACTGCATCACACCAACATGCAACTTCTTGAGGCTTTTTAGATGCTATGCATTATGGTAATGTGTGTGTATGTTTTAATTAGGAAATATAAAAACATTGCAAACCTCAAAAGCTTAATTGAAATCGAGATTGGTTGAGGGCTGATAAAATGTGTGTTTTTCTATTCCATATGATAGTTAGACTGCAGTGTGTTCAGCTGGGGTACATTAGCATAAAACTACAGAACAATGGAGCAACAGTTGCCAGCTCCCAAAAGCTGATCTCCTGTTGATGGATGTTACTAGGTCCTACAATTGCTGGGGAGAGGATGACTGATGTATTTCTTGTGGTCTAACGAGTCTACAGTCCTAGGCAGCACTGAACACTAAAGGACAATTCAGAAATAACTAGTTGGTGTATGACTATCTATAGCAAATTACTCATTGTTTAATTTTGCAAGATACCTACCCCACTGCTTTTCTGTAACCACTGAGTTCCAGAATAAGTATGTACAAAATTGTAACAAAAAGCAGAAGAATCATTTTTGGCAAGGAAGATACACGTAGAAATATTGCCAAGGTGAGAGTCCCCACTACACAGGAAAGGAAAGCATAGTGGGCTGTGTCGCATGGAAGTTCATTCATTGTTTTATTTGTTCCACCAGGAGAAATAATAACTATTGAGCTGCTGGAATTGGTATTCCAAACCCAAGGCATACAGCCAACCTGGAAAAGACAGGAGAGGTGAGAAGGGGAAGAAGTTAAATACGAAATAAACAGAAATGTAGTTGGTATGGAAGCTGACTGTAGTTAATTTCTAATTGGAAAATATGGCTGTGTCCCACTCAGCTCAATGCTGTATTAAAATCTCCTTTTCCTGCAATGCTCCACTGAGTTTTAGGGGAGAGACACAATTTGTTAATTAGATGCCAATAAGGGCAACCAATTGAAGTGTGGGCTTAGTTGAAGAGTTTCCCTCTCAGTGCTCAAATCTAAGAGATTATCAACCCAGGATATTCTTACAAATTAAGGAACTTCAGTTAACATTTTATGTGGCCATGTAGGTGAAAAAGGTTCTTGTACAGAGCACAGAAATAAATGTTTGTTTTATTGACTATGTAAGTCATATAAAATTCAATTACTTAAATACAAAGTAAAACATATTTTGAGTGAAAAACTAAACCTAATATCTTTCTTCCATCTCACAGCAGCTACTTCTGCTCTCACATATGTTTCAAATACAAGGACTCATCTTTAATTACCCCTGTCATTTCAGTTATCCAAGGAGTTCCATTTCCTTCTTACACTGGGAAATAAAAAGCTTTAGTATATTTCTTATGGGAAATTTGGGGAAATCTAACCTTTTCCTAAAGACAATGTCATGTACATATCTCAGAACCGTTACCCCAGGAAGAGAGGAATTTCTGGCAAATAGTGCAAGTCCCTAGAGCTCCAGTTTTAACTGCAGTCCAACCTTCACCTCTTACAAAGGAAAAGGATGAGAGTTAGTATAAGTAGGGGGGAGTGGGATGGTAGTGTGAAATTGATTTAACAGGCACCATCACATAAGCTCTGCCCTGTACTTAAGCATCTCTTTTGAAGTGCTTTATAAGACCTTTTTATTTCATCCCAACTACTGCCAATGAAATTTTATAGCATGCTGTAAAGTAACTGACTTCCTGAAGGGTGATTAAACCATGTATTTTAGAGGGGGTTGTATTAACTTAGAAAGATGAGACATAATAAATAAAAAAAAAGTGAGTTAAACTCATAATGGGTAACACTATGAAATGAGATTGAGAGAGTGAAATGAAAAATCCCTTTAATGGGATTTTGCTCAATATCCATAAAAATGCTTTCCTACTAAACTCATCCAAAAATGTATGCATGCATGAGGGCTTCATCACTGATCTGCAATCCATCCAGGAAAACATCATCTGCTGTACAACTAGTAGTAGAATCTCAACAACAGCTCTTCTGAGAGATGTGAATTCTAGGGCCATTACTTTGCAGGAACTAATAATTTCTACTGATTAAACATTTCTCCTTAAGTTACAAGTTATTTTTTTTTCAGGAATGGGTAAAGTTATGTTCTAAGTTGTAACTGAATGATCACTGCCTTGTTGGAGTTCAGAACTTCTGAATTCTAATCTGTCTCCCACTGTTGTTCAGCATTGCCTTAGGTCTTATGATGTCTGTTTTCCATTCGCACTATCTTTAAGTGGCAACAATAATTCTTGTTTCATTTGGTCAAAGCAACTGTTGGATCTGTGGAGGCTGATTCACCAAGATTTTATCTGTCATAACTCTAATCTCAATCCCGAAGTCAGATACACAGAATTTGCTGAGAAGCTAGCCTGGAATCACTGCAAAGCTGTTTGCATTTCGTGCTTATGTCCACATTAGGAACCATATATTCATCTGTGTGCTACTAGGGCTATGTGTTACTCACACAAATCATGTTCAGGAATTCCCAGAAATGTTTCAACATCAGTAATTCTTGGTTCCTCTCAGGATATTGGAATCCACAGAAAAGGGATCCTCTGCCCAGTCAGTTCGTGGGGATAAGGTAGTTATTATGTTCTCAGGGCAGGTCCAAGGACAAGTGAATACACAAAATACAAAATATGAGGCTCAGCATCTCAGCACTGAGAATTGCTCATCTTCTTAATAGTCAGAATACATTGTCGAATTCCTGCAGAGAGGCATGATTTGAAACATTTGCTTTCTCAGCATTTCCAGTTGTGTTTCATGTGCTATTTTTGTGTGGATTCTTTCCTTTGAGTACCCTAACATGTTTAATTCATTAGCATTAGCAGCCAAAATGCTAAAATTGAGCGCTAGGAATTTGTCAAGGCAACTGACTGATAAATACTTAGGTGAAAGTTTGAACACCATTTCAATTTAAGTCCACAATGTTGAACTCTCTGCTAATTATAGTAAAGGAAGCTCAATTTTCAGAAGTATTGAGCACATTCACTTAATCCAACAGAAGCTTTTTAGACATTAGATGTGAATGGATCATATGAGTAGCACAGGATAAGTGCCTCTTCTCGTTACAAAAACTCGACATTTTAAAATCTCTCTATCTTTTCTTATCTGCCTGTATTAAAAATATTCTTGTTATTCCACAGAGTTATGTTCTATAAATAACCACATAGAAATAGTAATCTTGTTTTGACACCATACCTTGTCTGTCACAAATATTAGCCATTGAACTAGTAAGCAAGTTGAACATTTAAAAACAGTTTTCCCATAAAGTACATGACACCAGCACTCTACATGATGCTAAGGTTAGATGAACAAATTTATATTGGTTTTGAATAGGTATTATCTGTGTAATTTGCTAATAGCTTTGCCACTCCTAATTAAATACACTGTCTCAGGCCAATGAAAGTTCAAATTGCAGCAAAGGGATTTAATTTCGAAGAAGCATGCTTGGCGAGTATGAATAATAAAACAAGTAGGAATTAATCAGATGAGAATATGGTATGTGTTTAATGGATCTGCACCAGCTTGTTCTTTAAACAGAATGTGAACTTAAGTGAAACTTGATTCAAATACTCACCACACAGCCTTGAGCCACAGAGTATATTAAGATCACAATAAAAATACACAAAATGGTACGAATTTGTATTGTCAGGCACCCTGGAAAACACTAAGAAAGAAAAAAAATTTAGATGACATATTTAAAATATTTTTAAACTGTGGTTGTTATTTTTTAGTAGTCTATAAAGAGAAGTGAATATGGGATACAGAAATTTGACCTGTACTGAAAATTAGGATGTTGCAGTGATTGTTGTGTAGTAACTGTTATTCACTTGTTACTGTGTAGGTGTATTTTAATGGTAATTGCAGTTTTGGGGATAATAAATGTGAAATTACTATTGCTATACATTATTTCTCACTATAATTAAAACTCTTAGAAATTTTCGTTATATGTCTACTCAGGATGCAAATAATATTCTAGGATGGCATTTGATTTTGCTCTCATGGGGAAAATACCCAAAGCAACTTTTGCCTTGCATATTTTCGGCTCCTTTGCCTTGCAAATTGTGATCTGAGAGAACACACTGTGATAGCATAGAATTTTGGAGTGGTATATATGTCTTCTGTCATAAAAGGCAGGTTAAATGCCAGAGTAGTTCTAATTATTGTGACTCATAAAAACATTGAATTTGTCAGAAACAACAGTAGAGAACAAAAATATCTCGTGAAATGGAGTCTTGTGAACATTTTGTTTATCTCCACTTTTACCCTGATTCCATTTATCACACTATTAAGTGTCAAGTTGTTGCTGCTATGAAGCCTGTGACAGAATGTGAGAGGGGAAGGGTAAACCTGTCAGGCTGTGTACTTAGGACTGTTCCAGTTATTCTGATCAACTCTGCTGCCAGGTAAAGCTGCTTTCCTTCCTTTCCCCTTGCACCAAGAATGTTTGGGGCATCTATTATCTACTGGATATATCTTTCAGCGTCTTCTAGTGACTTCAAGGGTCAAGAATCAAATCCAAGAAACAGTCAGATTTAAAGTGGGTACTGTCCTGTGTCCTTTAAAAGGAGGAAGCTCAGATTTATCGAGGTTGAATTTCACTTAGGGTCAAATGGAGCAAGCAAACAGCTGATTTTTGGATGAACATTAGCAGTTTTGAAGAAAAGCTGTTCACTTCACAGGTATCACCAGCCTCAAAAGCACAGCTTCCAGCAGGCAGCAAAATAGTCATAGAGAGAGGCTACTGTAGCCTTGGCAAAACAAAAATCATGTATTGAAATGCATCCCCTTCCTTTCACACATGCAGACATTTTCCCTGTATGTGCAACCATGTTATTAAAAAAAAAAAAAAAAGAAAAAAGTATGATCTACAAATATAGTCTGGCTTAAGTATAGGTTAAGTCCATGTAAATGTAGGTGTGGAGCAATCAATACAATATATCAATATAACACAATATCTCCTGTAGTATCCCACTTATTACTGGTTTCCAGGCAAAGTATAACCATAAACTGCTAGGCTCTGAATGTGATTATCCCCACAGTATCTTACCCATCAAACTGTCCACTTAACTAGACCAGAAACATATATACAAATGGGGTGGAACATGTGTGGTTTTATCCTCATAAATAAAATGCAAAATAATTTTGTTTGAAGAAAAAAAAAAATTCCATTAATTCAGTTTGCAACCAAATAAGCTGTCTACTGCTTATTAAAGAGATAATACCCATGGTTTGAAGATAATGCTGGATGGTTAAATAGGGACGAAGCAAAACACAAATTCAAGGATCACATGTCCTGGTACCTTGCATTGACAATTTTTTTGTGGTCTGTGTAGTATATATATGTTTTAAATGTTGACATGCTAGGCTATTGGTTTAAAATGAAAAACAAACCTTTAAAAGATAAGGTATGAGACACACCTGAATTAAAATTCTGTCACTAAGAACATTTATACTTCTGACGTTAAGTCACTCTAATATTGCATCTGCACTTTTATGATAGCAGCGAATTTTGGTTTCATTTTCTTGGCATTCTTTTATTTATGTATTTTTTATTAACTAAATAAGTAGTGTCAGGCGACCAAAATTCAAGGTAACTGGTACAGTAAAATATTGTCAAAGTGATTTTATGAGTAAGGTATTTAATGCTAAAGCATGGAGTAGCTGAGCCACTTGTACAGTGTGAAAGAGCAAGTAAGTGCCAGAACACTGATTAAAATAGGGGAATGATTGTTTTACAATTGTATATCCATTATCCATGTGCTATTAATTTTATTTTATTAATTATAAGACAAATTTTTGACACAAAGTTTTAAATTGTGATATTCTAAGCATTTATATTTCTTTGTTTTTCTAATACTGGATTCTAATGCCATAATCCTGTAAGTATTGAATCTCTGGAGGAACCTGGAATAAATACAAATTTTCTTGACTGACAGAATAGATGGAACACTTCTTATGTTTGCACTAGCCCCAGGTAAAAGAGCAGGTATAAAGAGCAGTTACTTCTACAAACTTTGTCTGCATTTCTACCATCTATAGAGAGAAGAACAGATAATAAATTACTCTGCCCTAATAAAAAAAGAGAGATAATCAAAATTACTCCCAAATAATTTTCTAAGTTCATAAATAAGGTCCTGTTCAGTGCCTGATACTCTGCTAACATACTATTTATGTTTCCATGAAAACATATCTTTTCTTCTGCCAAAGGGCACTTTCAAAACTAAAATTAGTGTGTGCTAATCAGCAAAGCTGATTGCTGTGTAGGTGTTGTATCTTAATATTTGTCTGAAAAGACTAAATTTATATTAATCCAATACAGATTTCTTTCATCAGACAATTAGCCTGTATTTTTTCAGATGCTTTATTCTGATCTGGCATACCTATTTCTCCCCTAAAACACCCAAATGTCCTTCTGCATCATTACTATTGTGAAAATATAATGCAGGAGAATTAATCATTACTGAAGGTTTTGAAAAGGCCAAGGATTGTGTGTGCAAAACATTGTGCTTTACTATCAAAACAGCTGCTGTTTTGGCAGGAAAAATTTTGAAAACAGAGGGGAAGTTAGCAGGACTTTACACCCAGATCAGCAGGAATGAAAGGGAGAACTAGTGTGCTCTGTGGTCAGAAAGGAGTAAAAGTCAGGTTAAAGCAGTTTATCTAAACACAATATTTAGTGGTAGGTGTTCAGGGAAGATTTAGCAAAAAAATAAATAAATAAAAAAAAGCACAGAATTAATGGCACTGAATGCTACACTGCTGTAACGATTACTCATGTAAAAAGCCTACTCTCAGATGACTGATCTATGGTTTTGAAGTGTCTAATACATTATGTACCAAGGAACTTTAAAACACATAGATTTCAGACTCTCTGAATCTGTGAAACATACACTGATGGCTTCATATTCCAAAGGTCCAACATAGCATGGCCACCAAAGGAAGAGCAGTCAAAAAATCTTAAATCACTTACTTGTACTCGTGTGACATGTAGATACATAATACAAGCCACTAGGAAGCATATGCAGAACACCAGGAGAACAAGAACTATGGTACTCCTAGAATCAAAACACAATAGAAATAATGCAATCCAATTCAGTGATAGATGAGAACAAACTGCTGTTAAGGGGCCTTTCTGAAATTCTATTTTAAATAAATAGTGGAGGATGTCCTCCTCAACCTTGCTGCTATACTAACCATCACAGTGCAAATTTAGAAATGATGTCCACTGCTCTCAAGATTATGAAATTAATAAATGCTCTTGTAAATGGTCCCCACTCTGACTTCAAAAAGGAGATCAAAGCACCTCAAAAATTGAAATGTGTGGTAGTCAGGAGAGACACTTTGTAATTGTGGGCTAGTGCAGAATATTCAGCATGATGACCCTTGTAAGGAGAATTTGTAACTCAATTACTTGGCCTGGGCAGTGGTGTTAACAGTCACCAGATGCTTTTTCTGTCTCATTTCTCTTTCTCAAAGATTCAGAAATCAATGGTTATTCAACTCAGACAGTTAGCAAGTCAAATGAAATCTGACCAGACTATCTTCTAATGAAACAGAAAAGCTCCCTCCTTTTGAATCTTCCTCAAGAATTAGACAAATCATAAGTTTCACAAAGATACTGTAATAATTTTTAAATTCTTAATCTTCCCTCTTCTGATCTATCAAAATAGATTTGTTCTTAATGAGAAGACGGGTGCAAAACAGGAACTTTCTTTCTCTGGAAAAATTCTCTTGGAAAAGTACCATATGGATGTGAGCAAGCTGACAAAAATTAGTCCACCAGTGTGGGTGCATTTGATCTCTGCTCAGGGGCAGCCTAGCCCCATGCCATCCATGGAGTCAGGGCTCTATGGCAGCAGCATGACATGATCTTCACACCTTCTTTTCTAACTTATGAGAACAAACCAGTCAGTCCAGAAGCCGTGTGAGCTGCGGATTCAGGCACATATGTGTCTGTGCCCTTGACAATTACTGGGAAAAGATTGTTGATGCAAGGTTTCTAACAGCAGAAGAATGCAATTCTCCTGTAGAGTTTCTATTTGACTTTGATTTCAAATTCATGTAATAGTTGCTACTGATACAGGAAGAGGGAGAATTCTGTGGTGCAGTATGTCTACCCAGAATGGGAAGGTGACTCTGGGTGCTATTAGTGTGGATTCTGAATACAAGTATTAATGAAGGCATTTCATGCCTTTAGAGAATTCACTCGTATTCAGGATGGCAGCATCCTAGAAAAGAATGCAGGGGACGTGTCTACAACAGCATCTTACAACACAGCAATAGCTCACAACTGACAGTAGTGCTGAGTGGGGCCCTGACTGACATTTGGGCTGGCATCTAAAAAGGGCTACATTGTTTTTTAAAAAATAAACACAGAATCAGACATTAGAAGGGTTCAGAGTCAGGGCTTTTAGCAGCTACACTGCAAATATGCCTCCATAATTGGACAGCTTAGGTTGACAGGAACATAGCCTTACTTTGACCACCTGGTCTGGGAATATAAAATGTGTCTTTAGTTGAGAAACTGTTTTGCTCAAATGATGATAGGAATTGTGAGAATGGCAAGCCCATTGATTTCTGCATACTTATGCAGTAATTGACTTTCCCACGACATTTTATTGTCTAGATGATCAACCTCCTCCTTGAAATATTGTGATATATCACTTCTCCCATTAGGGTAACATATTACAAGCCTTGTCTTGGCTTTTGCACTCTCTTGTCATATCAATAACTACTTTGGCAATCTAAATAGCAGCTTAAAGCTCCAAACTCTGGAAATGGAGGAAATTTTCCTTTACTTCCAAAGTTTTAATTTAGCTCATGCTTGCATCTGTGTCACAGCAAGGGAGGAGCCCAAGAAGAATAGTAATCTGGCTGCATGAAGCCACCACTCAGACCCTGGAAGAAAAAACTTAGGAGTATTCAGTGGGTGGCTTTTTAACTAACTCAGTCCATCTTCATGACCTTCTGTGGTGATATTCTGCTTTTGCTTGTCTGTCAGATCACTTCTTAAACTGAAACTCTGTCAGATCACTTCTTAAACTGAATCTCTGTCAGCTGTTTTTAAGTGACAGTAGTTTTTTGAAAGGCTATTATATGAGTCTTGAAAATTTATTCTAGTTTCAACTACACTCATACACTTTGTTTCTCCTCGTTCAAAACTTCAGCTGTGGCTTACTGAAGAAGGTGAAAGACTTCTTAATCATTCTCCAATTAGTCAGCAGTCATTTGTCTGGAAATGATGATGTAAATGATGATTCTTTTCTGTGACTTTGAATTCTTTAGATGAAAGGTACTATATTACAAATTAGTATTTGTATTTTATTAATGTGAATAAAGTATTTTTCAACTAGAAATAATAGAATATGGAAGTATTATTCCAACTGGAGATTTGTGAATAGAAAAGACCATAATTTAAATTGAATTTTCAAAAGCATTATCCTGTGGCCATTTCTATTCCCATTGAACTCCTTATAGTTAGTAAAACTGTGTAAAGTTTATTATTAATGTTTTGATATTCTAATCTGAAAAACGTTCATTATTATAAATTTTTATACCTTACACACAATTCTATCTACCTCTAGATTTGAAAGGGGTCAAATTATTTTTATTTAGCAAGCATTCACATAGAACTGACAAAATATGAGGTGATCACTAATTAATCATTCAACAAGAGGCACAGGACACCTCCCAAACACATCATTTGGCTATGTTTTCTTTAATGCAGTCAAGGTTGGAATGCAAGTTATGTGGGCATAGCCAAAATATGCACTAGGCAGTTTACGTGGGGATAGTGTTGATACCAAAAACTTCAATTAATGCTCTAAATGCTTCAATGCAGCTGGATGGGTACTTTCAGTACTTTGTTCCCATTAAACTCGGTATGGTTTTATTTATGTTGCTATCAATACCTGAAGTACTTAATCCAAAGTAGCAAGAACAACATTTAGAAAAGCTGCAGTAATATCTTTGTAATGCAGAAATGCTTTAAATAAGTTAAAAAGAACCACTGAAACTTTAAATAAGCACTGAAATGTATTTTTTTTCCTCTAGGTGCATACTACTACAAAAGAAAACAAAAAAAAGGTCGTGAAAAGTGTCTCATGTGGACAAATGAAAGAGATAACAATTAGACTGAGCGTATACTAACAGAGAATCTCCTGTGTGAGAAGGTGCCCATTCCTGTTCCAAAGACTTTAATTTTTGACCTGTGCAGGATGCCTGAGGATGTTCTACTTTGAGTTAAGATAGAAAAAGACAGAAACTTACTGTGGTATTATTAGAAGGTAGACAAGGCCAAATAAGGCAGCTAGAATTAGTGAGAGAACTACAGCACTGGTGAAGTACTCATCCTGAAGCTGGTGGTACTGTTAAAGAAAGGAAGAAATGAAGACAGTAAATATTTTATATATCTGCCCAGACACCCACACCTAGTCCATTCTCAGTAAGAAAGACTTGTATCCTAAAATAAAACAAGCCCTTACTTAGATACAAGGATGATGGCTTAATTCACATTATAAAAACAGATGAGGGAAGTCCGCACAAGATTTTCCTTGACAGATTTCTCTTTCACCCTGTAACTAGTCAAAACTGGTTTAGGCTCAGATATAAGTTTATCTTTTTGAGAAAAAATTCAGCCACTTTGAACCAGAAGAGGGTGGCCCTCCCTCTATTTACTCATCATGATAAAAGGCCAAACACCCCTTGTTGCTGCTTTCAGAAGTCCTGTCACCTCAGCTGCTCAGGACAGGACACTAAGGAGTGAACTTGGAGGCAGCTGGTAATGAGACAAATAGGCTCAGCTGGGAGCAGCTACTGTCCCTGATTCCACTAAGCTACAGTATGAACGAGAGGAAGCTTTCTAGGGGTGGAAACACAAAAGCATCTTCTCAGAAAGATCCAAAGCTCAATATCATTTACACCGGAAGGCTTTTATTTTGAAAGAAAAAAGTTACAGCCAAATAATAAATTATTTTGGAACATGAAATCAAAATTTATGTTCAAAACCTTAAAAAATTGGAACCAATATAGCACACAGCCTTCTAAATTGAAACAGTAGTGCCATGAAATCTTAGACTTTAAAGTGGCTTACAATGGAAAAATAAATACTACTGCCGAACTAATTAAAAAACATTCCACTTTTGCTTTTTCAAACACATAAACTAAAGGCTGTAAATACAAATAATTTGTATTCACAAAAAAACCACCAACAAGGAAGGAACAATTGTTGACTGATATGCATGCTGCATGTCTGGGTAAATCCCCTGTTTTCAGCACTGGTGTAATACTGCAACCTTGTTGTACAGAGATTTAATGGTTTTTTGGGTTTTTTTAATATCATCTAGAATTTCTGGATCAATAGTTATCAGTCTACCTATGCATCTTCTTGTCATTAACACTTCTCCAAACAGATGAGGGAGTAGGCAGACACATTGCAATGAGACAGCAATAAACAAGTGACTCAGGCAGTTTGGAGAAGCAAAAGAAAGACCAAAACACAGGATATATAACACAGAGTAGGATCCTGACAAGTAGGACAATACCAATTTTTCGTTTTACGCCCTTCAAGTGTTTCCACAGAAGGTAGAGATAATGTCACCCTCTTAACTGAGACAGTCCAGTGGAGTATTTAAAGACAGTGAGTAAAATTCAAACATTGCATGAAACCCAAACAGAAACCCCAATGCTAGTTGGATTGTGGTCAGTGAGCTCAGTAAAAACAATTTAAAACCCCCTTACTTTATTTTCACGCTCGATTTGCTTATACTTCAGGGTAATGAAGTTCAAGTCAGCCATCTCAGACTCAGTTTGGCGGGCCTCTATCAAGCGGCTGATGTATCTGTTCACTCGAGTTCCCGGAGTGTTGTGTACAATATTGTTAGAAAAAGAGGAGCGATTCCTGAGTTTTTCAGAGGCTGTCCTCAATGCTCTCCTCTGTAATGTGGATGAAGAAAGAAGCACAGATTTTATTAGCACTGCGATTTTTCATTGCTGTTCATATTCAAGCTCACAGAGACGATGTGGAACTCATTAAAGAGAGCAACTACAAAAGACAGAGTTCTTATCTCAGTGTGAATCTCACCTTCTAAAAATTCCTTACCTGAAATCCTGGTATCATTCAAACCAACTAGAAAACTCCCACTTAATTCCAAGATTTTAATCCAGAAATTCTTTTCACATACGGCCCTGACACTCCTCTGCCACTGAGGAAATAATAAGTTTGTTCCCAGTCAGGGTCACATTACCATACAAAATGGTTTTATTTTGGTTTGTTTTCTTGACAGAAGACATGGAGTTCTGTTCATCTTGAAGAGAAGATAACCAGGCTCTTCATAACACAAGAAAAGTCCTACTGTCTAGGTACCAATACATATTTCAAAAAGATAATTTACCTTAAAGTCTTGGACAGTGACCACGTGTGACTACAGAGGGTCTGAAATCTCAAATGTTGCTATCTTTAACTCTCCCAGTTGGCTCTCTTGTTAAGTCCACTTGAGTATGTCTCAAGTGCACTCGCACATCCAGATGGAGCCATCCAACAAATTATGAGAACTAACCTGTGCCTAACTGGCTCCTCCAAGGCTGAGGTAGCACAACCACAAGATGATTACTCATAGTCCTTTCCAGCGGAAAAGATTTATCACAGAGCATATCTGGAAGGGATTTTAGACCAGCTGTCTCACTTTTCACACAGAGCACTCAGGAGACAGTGAGCAGCTCTCAGCCACACTTGATGGCAACCTTCAGCTGAGGGCACTTTAATCTAAACCAGTATGGCTAGGTCTGTTCTATGACTGCACAGGGGTCAAGCCTACTTCCCAGAAGAGTTTTGACAACAAAGCTCCGGCAAGTTCTACTATTTCTGTAAAGTTAAAGGAATATTTTTTCTAGCATCTGCAGAGTTCAAGACAGTTCAAAACATTATGAAATAACAAGTCTACTCAGGATATAATAAGTAGAGTCTGTCAGAAAGATGTTAAAGAGGAAAACAAAATTTTTCTCTTCAGAACAGTCAGTCCTAAATAGCTCACTCTAGAGGCTACACAACAACATTCCCTTTTATTCCAGATGGTAAAAACGATGGTAATCACTATCTAAGTAATCTTGCAGGAATGGTAGTTTCCTTTTTTATTTCACAAGAAATTCTTAGAAGTACCTGATTAGTGAACAAATTGTGAACTACAGCAGTTTATTAGCATACATAGCTTATATGTAGATCTAAATCCTTATGAATAGTGAGAAGGGTTATCTACTGACTGATACCTTAGTTTTCTGTTTGTGAAGAAAAATGAACCCTAGCAAAGATAAAGTAACTTTTCAAGTCTTGCTTTGCTGGCTTATTTGTAGAGAGGAGGCTACACCCCCAGTAAGCAATTCTAAGGTTACATTTTTCTTCAAGCTATCAGATCCCATTAGCTGGTAAATTTGGTGTAAGTGCTAATTGTTTCAACATGAAAACTAATCTTAGGGACATACATTGATCAGAGATCTTAAATTGCAAGTCAAACAACTATTTCCAGTGCTTCTAAAGAGAGAGAAATTTGGTTTTTTTTAAGAAACATTTGTATCAGTAATCAGTAGGGAAATTGAGTTGTCAGAAATACACAATTTTGCTCTCAATAAACTATAATTTGTTAGCATATGTATTGCATTAGTTGCAGAAATACATCTTCAAGGATTTCTTACAATTCAAATTTAAGCGTATAGTATAAGAAGGAGGGGGAGGAAAACAGTATATAAATAAATGTTTCATTGCATTAAAACCTGAAATGAGGGAAGATGAATATGGGTGTTATTCTGATATATGGAATAAATTATATTATTTATTTTTCCATTTTGAAACAGGGTCAAAGTTTCTATTCTTGATCAAAATAGCTGTTTCTTATATATAATTATTTCCTCTAGGTCTCTTATTCATATCTCTATTATTATTTTGCACAGTAGACTTAAATAATTTGATCTTACATATGATGCAAATCTGGTATTTATGTTTCTCAGAAATGTACTGGCTTCAAAGCCTTTAAAGACCCCACTTATTTTACTTTATTTACATGATTTGAGGACTGAAAACTCTAAAGAAACCCTACATTGTAACACAGTGTATTTATGTTTGTATCATATAATAAAATCCATGCTGTGTTACATGAAAGTTACAAAAGACCAGAACAACCCTCCATTACTGATAGCATTGCAGAACTTCAGTGCCAATGTTCTGCCATGAAAAAATTTCATCAGACCACTAAAAAATCCACACGGGGATTTTCAGTATACATTACCTGTACCATTACCTTCTGTGTACGTTATATTTATACATACATATACACAAGATACAATGTAAAATCTTGCATAAGCTTCAAAGAATGTGTGGGTTATTTTTTAAAATACTCAAAGATAACACTAAATCACAATTGGAAGGCCTTGTATAAGGCCAATTTCAAAATCAAATCTGGAGTTTCTGAAAGTCTTCACTGAAACTGTGTTTTAAAGGAACTAATTGACTTTTTCCCCCTTTTTTTGCAGAGGAAACACAAACACCTATAAAACTCAAAATATGAAAGTTCGAATGCTTTCTGAAAGTAAGATTTAGACCGAGTCTTCAATAAATAAAAACTTTTTAAAAAGGGAAAGAAGGGTGAAGCAATCAGTCAAACTGAATTACTGATCCAATGCTCGCGTGCCACCACGCACTGGTGGAGTGACCTGTGTAATATTGCCACCTGCTGTCAAAGAAAATGGAACAAGCAACTCTTACAGTTTTTATCCATAAATTTACAGGTAGATTCATGTACAGAAAAGAAGCAAACCAGGCTACTGGTATGTAAAGCAATTTTGATGTATGGAATTATCAGGCACCCAAGAAAGCGGAATTTATATTTGTATTAGGGACTTTTATGTTTAGGACTTGTATTATTGATGAAGAGGGGTTTTGACTAATCAGTTGCTTTTCATATTTTAGAGAATAGAATCGTCTAGAGAAACAGAATTATTCTGTTTGTTTGCATTTGTCACCATGAGCTTCAGAATGGGATGGACAAAAGATGCAAAAGAATATATGTTTAAAAGAATGGAAACAGCCTCAGAAATTCCAATTTCTGTGAAAAAAGCCCTTAATAGAAGCCACATAGGACACCTATGCTGGCTTTTCCAAGAGCAGCTCCAAATTTGAGGCTTTTTATAATTAAATTTTGTCTTCACTGTGGGAATTAGATTGTTCTAGCTCCAGCAGGAGCACCATAAACTTATTTATCCATTGGTACACATCACCCTCTATGTTCTCAAAGATGGTCTGTTTGATGCAGTCCTGGAATTGATGCCCAAAGAGTGCACTCTGCCCACATGGACTACCTTATCATCATCCTCACACGTCATGACGTTGGAGAAAGGGATCTCTGCTTTGAACATCTTGCGACAGTGCATGAGCTGAACCAGCAGATAGCAGACTGTCTTGAACTTCATTCTTTTGGCAGGCTTAATGTCTGAGAGAATCAGCCCAGGAAATATCTGTTGGTCAGAAAAATAATATTTATAACCAAGACATTGCATTCCCATGCAGACATAAACACTTGCAGGCATTTGCACCCCGTCATGGTCAGAATAAAACAATATTCTAGTCAAGAAGCAAAGTAATTTGATAAATAAATCTTCACATTTGCAAATGAAGATTACTTCATCTTTCTTCAACATGAAATATAAAGAATCTATTGAGCAGACATTATGTAAACTCATACTTAACATTTTGGGAAGAGTTCTTTTCTTAGAAATGTGAACTATAAAAAACGTGCATTAATGACAAACTCATAAAAGAGGCAATATTTGTATTTCTTTAACAATCAAATGAATTTTTGAAAATACAGGAAAAATAAGAAGGCAATTAGAATTTTTATTAATAGTCATTAAAAAACATAATTTCAGTTTTCTTCTTCCCTTATTTTGTTACTTCAGTTATAGCTAAGTTCATTAAAATCTGAAGAGGATAACTTTTGCTTTAAAGATATATATATATATGCCTTAAAAGGAGAGCATGAGGCATTAGATTATATCTTATCTTATTTCTACAAAGCAAGAAGTGTTATACCACAGAGAAATACTCTCAAAGGTTTAAGCATAATCTATTCCTTTTACCACAGAGCTCCTGGTTCAGCAAGGACAAATATTTTCTTGGTTAATTCTTAAACATGTATTTAGCTACTGGTGACTTCAGTAAAGCCCTAGCACGCACTCAGATGCTTTCTCATCATATCTTTTGAGGATATTATATCCTCAAAATTTATACCAAACTTATTAATGCTTCTGGCATGTGGAAAGTGTTAATGAGAAACATGGCAGTACTCCCTGCCTCCTCAGTATGGGAATTCAAGCTTGTAAAATTAATTTCTTCTGGATCAATGAAATAAAGAAGCAGAGAGGATATGCTCCTTAGTTTTCCTAGTTACAAAAGACAGAGAAAATCCCTCTCCAAAAACTTTATTCAAGTGGTCTTGAAGTCCACAAATGACAATGAGAATTTGCTGTGCATTATTCACAATACTATGATTTACTAGAGCCATTTACATCATCATTTCAATGATCAAAGAACAAAGAAAAAACTGAAAGTATTTGTTTAATGCATGTTTTCTTGGACAACTAAATTCAGGTGGACAGGGCAAATGACACTGATTATATTCTGAATGGCTTCTCAGATATTGGCTTGTTATGTTTAACACATACAGCCATGCTCTTGCATTTTCTGGAAAATCAAGGCTATACATTATTGACCTTTCAATATTTTGTTTAGTCAGTTACACTCCGGCTGTGAAACACAACAACGACTACAATATTGCACTTATTATTGTTTTCCTAGCAGACAGACATGCTCCCAACATATGACGGGCTTCAAATGTGCAAAGGTGCCTAGGTGTTTTATTGTACACAATTGCTTTATTGTACAGAAGACTGGCTGAAGCCAGCTAGCATCACTGCACTGCCCTACACTGCACAGTCAGCAGCTGAAATCTGAAAGGACATTTGTGTATCTAGTGCATGGCCACTTGTGTAAGTGGTAATTTAATAATAGCCTGTGTGAAGAGATTCCCAATATGAACCCTTTCCTTCAAGGGCTTTCTGGCAGAAGACTTACCACTGAATTGCATAGAAGATACTGTACAAGGATATTCACATACTAATTATCCCTTAGGTATTCCTAAGGACACTAAGTAGATAGTTGTTAGGCTTGAGTAAGGAAGATAAGATCAGTTTCTGAGCTACAATTCCCAACAGTTAAAACATACGTTTTGGAGAAGTATTTCACTTACAAATCTTCCTAATGTAGCCATAATTCCTCTAGAAGTTCCATATATTTTACGAAGTCTCTCTATCCACCTTTTTGATACAACAAAAATGAACAACTTTCTTGAAACTCCCTCCAGTTTTGCATTTAATTTCATTTTCAGAAATTTACAGGTGGACCATATCTCAAGAGATCATTAGCTCTTTCTTTGCTCAAACCTTTCACAGCGGACATTGCATTAATTAAGTCAGCAATTTTGAGGATTTTTAATAAATGATGATTTCAAATAAATTCAGAGACCCACAAAAGCTTCCTGACAAGCCTTCATTATGGAAATGCTACAGTATAGATGCAAGAGTTGCAAAGAATAGGTAGAGTATCTTACTAGCAAAAGATCCAAAAAGGAATGATTGTGATAGGTGAGAATATGTGCATGAGTATTTCCTCCTGCAAGGACTTGAAGTCCTATGAATAGAGAAGAATTTAGACTTTCCTCCAAGCAGCCTTCCTATAATAGGTGTGTTTCCGAGAACAACCTCCAACTTGAAAACTTGGAATGGACTCCACTTCAGACTGTGGCCCTACCACTAACATGACTTTTCTCCAACCAAAACCAATGTTTTCATTCAGTTTCTCGACTTTATCTTCAATTCAGTATGTAGAACATAATTAGCTCTTGCCAACAACTGGTTTCTTTTAGCTTAGAAATCTTACAGGCAGTTGTCTTACATCAACAGTATATACCCTTTAGATGTTGGGAGTATAGTGATTTTTTTCCAGCTGTTTTGGAATTAAATAGAAATTTCAGCTCAGATCAATGAAAAAAATGGAGTAGTGATGATCCCCCATCAAAGAAAAACAATAACGAACTGGTGTGAGTTTAGCAAAGGTTCACCAAAACAATCAGGGTTCTCAGGTGTATGACACAAGAAGAATCTGAGGGAATTTAGTTCATTTAGCTGAAAGAAGAGAAAGCTAAGGAGGGATCTACTTGGTGTCTTTAATCACTTATGGCATAGCTCAGAGAAGACAGAGACAGAATAATCCTGAATACTACTCAGAAAAAAAGCACAAGAGGCAATGAATATAGTATGTACCAAGGGAAATTCCTATTTGATACAAAGACGTTTAGCTGTGAGGATGATCATGCCTTGAGAGGCTGCCAGTCAGGGAAACACTCAGCACTTACTCAAAAGAGCATCTAACTGCAAAGCCAGTCCTGCTTTGAGCAAGGAGGCCGACCACTTGACCTCCAAATGCCTCCATCCAAATTCAGCTACTGAGCAATGCTAAGAATATTTGTGAACACATCCACTGTGTAGCTACTGTTCTTCATGGTTGGCCAAGAACACGGCCACTCAAAGGACACTGCATACACACAAGTTGGACACACTGACAGTTCTCAGCAGATCCATACAATTTTATTTATAATTTTGGTTGATTTGTTTGGGATGTTTTTTAGTTGGTTTGTTTTCGGTTTTTTTAATCATGTGGTTTCAGGACATGTAAATTCTGCACTGGAACTGGGGATTTTTCATTCTTCTACTATATGTACTTCTCTCTAACCTTCATCTCACGAATCACATCCGGTTTTTTTTCTTGCTTTTACAGCAGAACAACACTTTTGACATAGCGAATTCAGTGAAATATTTAAGTAATCTCAACTTCTGCTCTAAGTCTCTGATAAAGTCAGGGAATGCAAAACAGTCTGTTAAAAGAGACTTAAAAAACCCCTCCCAATGAAAAACACAACCCCAGTGTGTTTCGCCCTGCTATTCCTCTGATCTTGCTCCTGGCCAGCATTAGAGGAAAGCTGGACTGCAGCATTCCCATTCTGGCTCATTTTGTCAATAAATTTTACTTTCTCGTCTTTTTGACCCTTGGCATCATCTCTAATTCTGTTCACTGTCCATTTAGCTCATAATTTTAGGAAAGGTTGGTCATTTGCTGCAACATAGCTGTGACAAATAAGGTTAAGAGCTGGACTTTTCTAACAGAGCACTCTGAAAGCAGCCAGGACTATACACAGCTTTATGAATGCAGAAAACATACAAGCACTGATCCAAATCCTGGGAAAACACCCCAGTGTTTGAATGTCATGAAATATTCTGATAAGTATTTAACTGGTGCTCATTTGAAATTCTCAGAAAGGTCAGCAGACTGTTATTTCCCTGACTACATTCAACCTCAGTGCATAAAGTGGCAAGGAAAAGAAAATACTAATGTCATTCAAAACACATTTACAGAAACCATAAATGCTGTAGCACTGTCTGTGTTTTCTATCTTCAGGCAGGCAGGACCATGTCTCTTGGTGGTAGTATTTGTTCCATGACTTCCATGACTATCTTCAAGACGTTTTGTCTGTCCTAAGATAGATAAGCAAATTTTTCTTCATTTTTTTTTTTCTTCTTCCTATAGTTAAAATCATTGGACTTTTTTTTTTTTCCCCATCCTTTTCTACTGGCCTTATGATACATTTTACTTACCACACCTCAGCTTTCCAACATGAAAGTATATTAGGGATCTTACCAGAAAATACAGCATCTGAAAGACTAACTTTTAAAATTCAGAATAGTGTGACCACTTTCTTGATACAGATGTGGAAAAAGATTTTAACAGTTGTAAAGACTAAACCAATGTCTAGGAGATCAACAACAGAGAAAAAAATCTTATACCAGTGTCCTACATCTTTCCTTGTACAAATTTCACATTTATGGAAGAAGAAAAAGAGAGAATGATATTAGAGCATATAACTAATTCTATCACTGACAGCCCAAACTGCAGGCCTTCACACTGATGATGATGCATTAGCAGCTTCACAGCTACTGCAGGAGCAATCCTGAGGATGTAGAACAATACACTGCAACACAGACATCATTCTTCTGTTTGTGTTTGCTGGGTAGCAGCACAAGCAATTTATTTTCAATGATTGGGTTTGTATATTCCAATAACTTTGGCAATGCAAAGTCTCAGGCAGAGAACAGCCCCTGTCCAGATACAAGCTAGAGCTTGCATTAAAAGGCTGTGTGCCTATCTGTTAAACTGTGTCTGCTAAGGTACATCTAGGGTGTTAAAATCTGAAACGCCCAAATTATGCATTCAGATATCTAGTTAAATTCCTTGGAAGGAGCTGTGACCCATCAAGAGCAAAGGCCACCCCTGGACTCTCAAAGTCATGGCAGTGGCAGCTGTCAGTTTGAAAGAAGTCTTCACTGTTTGCCCAGATATGGACTCA